AGAGCGTGAATTTATTTTTGAATAAACGAGGCCGCGCATTGGAGTACTCGGAAACATTGATGATACATATATTTTATCCTTAAGTTGTTCAACAGATTTGTACATTTGTTTATCACTAAGCATTCGAGATAAATATGTGAGACTCTCCATATTGAAATCTTTTGTGACCGTTTCAAAGAAAACCAGAAATCATAGCGATAGTGGTAAATATTTATTTTTCGATCTCTAAATCAACAAAAGTTTTTGCTGTTTCTGATTAGAACTTTCAAAAAAAATTAAAATACATTTTGATGCTAGGCTAGGCAATTGAACGCGTTTTCAATTTTTTATTCGTCTAAACCCTTAAAATTCGATTTTAATGAACCACTGGTGTGTTTTAAACAGGTAGAATTTATTAAATTATCAATAATAAATTTAAAATAATTCATATAAATGCTTTATACGATTATTTTTCGGAGGAACAACAATAGGTAGAGGAAATCAAAAAAAACCGTAATTCATGATATTTTTTATTATGAAAATCAACAATAATATTATCAAATACATAATATTCCAATCAAATATAATCGAAAATCAATAAAAATTAAAGCATAATAGTAATAGTTCTTCTAGTGTATATGTATAGTAAAAAAATTAAAAAAAATTTAGCGAAGTTATAATGTTTTTATTTTTTAGTTTCAATATAATTCTATAAAATCTATAAATTTTACTTCATATAAAAATGCAAGGTAATAATTTACCTGATTTATCAATTCGTGGTTTTCTTTTATATAATAAATTAATATTAAAACCCAATAAAATTTAAAATAAATAAACAAGCTTTACATTACCTCCACAAAATCTTTTACATTGAACTACACCGCAATAGCATATCAAATTCTTTATCTTTATATACACACGCTCTTTCCAACAAAAGGTAACATCATATGTTTTTTGTGCATTTTGCATTAACACATATGCGCATGTTCCTGTCTTATGTTTTTTGCTGCCCCAATTTTTATTTCCAAACAAAATACCAAATCGTTCATATCCTTTGCCACACTCCACATTTACAAGTATATTTTCTTTGAGCAGGGAAATATTGGAAGGTTGATTCATTATAAAATAAAATAATAAACATTCCTTCGGAAAATGGTTCCATTTTTAATTTTTTTAGTCTAGTTTCACTTCTATGAAATTGCAAGCGTGCTTTCAATTTTATAACAAAAGAATTTTAAATTGACAAACATCATATAAGGAAGGAGAAGTCAAGGAATGAGTGATGTATTATTTTATTGTTTGAGTGATCATTTCTTTCATGAATAGAGAGTAAATTCTTAGATGAAAAAGTTTTTCGAAATTGGCAGAACAAAGTGAACAAACAAATGGCATTATAATGAAGCGCGTATTAAAATAAGTGAAATTTCTAACTCAGGAGGCGTGATTGCATATTATTTGTAACGGGGGAAATCCTGTTGACCAGTTGCCCATATGTAAACGGAAAGAAGCCACACTGATTAGACTGAT